TCTATTTCCCAGACATCATTTCTACTCCTATATCTCTTCTCTCCATAAATCACTCAAGCATTTAACTTGGAAGAAGACTGGAAACTACCCTTGAATTTTCTATCTTACCAACAAGAACTAGTTGATGAATAAGAACAGATGTTAGGGGGTATGGTGCCACCAATAGGTTAACCTCTACCTGTGGTTACCAAATCATCTATTGATGGGTGGATAAACAAAATGGGTTAATATCCCGTCTTAAAAGATTTTGGTTGGGTATGGTGCTGCAAGCAGGTCAACCTGTACCTGCGGGGCGAGTGCACCAGCAGCCTGATGGTGCTTTCAGGCTTCCTGATACCCCCAAATTGTCACTGTGCCTTTGGCCAGACCTCAACAACTTGGGGCCAAGTTTTCTAAGAAATTAAACAGCCAAAAGTTAGGTATGTGGGAGCCGCACCCACAAACCACCTCTGGCTCAGCTATACAAACTCATTTATTGGCCTTATTTCAGAGACCCATAGATAACTCTCAAAAGAGATCAAAAGCTATAGATAAGCTCAGAATCACGCATGGCTGAACAGACTGGGGTAAACCAAGGGGGGATGGGTTGGCCTGGTGGCCTGCCCAAGCAGAGCCTCCAGTAGCCACTTGCTTCCACAATCTAAAATCCCAGCCATAACCCTGGCCTGACTCCACCGTCTCAGGACAGACCTACCAAAATGTAATCTGCTGAAAATTCTGGTATGTGGGTTTTGTGACCTAAATCTCCAGGCTTTCTCAGAGTTGGGATACACTAATCTCCCCTCACTTGCCAGTATACATGGAAGCACTGGCAGTCACCCCCACGAACCAACTCCAGTGCCACCCTGTAAGCTCTACTACTATCCTTGCTTCAGAGACCCCTAAATAAATCTCAAAAGAATCAAAAGCCGCAATTATGCTTGAACCCATGCATGGCCTAAAAGACTGGGGCAAACTGGACAGGGGCAGGCTGGCCTGTGCCTACCCAAGCAGAGCCCCAGGCAGCCACTTGCTTTCACAATCCAAAATCAATGCCATACCTCCAGCCTGACTCCACCATTTCAGGATGGTCCTCTTCAAGATATAATCTGCTGAAAATTTTGTAATGTGGATCTTAGCACACCAACAGCCCTGGCTCAGAGACACAGAGGCAAGTCCCGGAAGACACCATACCAAGCCAATTCCACTGGAGCACCCAAGATGGAGCAGGTACAGTCTCCTGCCTACTCCAGATGGAATCCCCATGACCAAGAACTTCCGCAAGCAAGGACCAGGTATGTGGGTTTCAGGACTAAATCTCCAGCCTGCTTGGTAGCAGAGGACATGGGCTCTCCCTGCCCAGGTCCCCACCCACCCAGAAGACTGGCTGTCACACCCACAATTTGCCTCCAGGCACCATCTTAGTACACCAACAGCCCTGACCCAGAGACACAGCAGCAAGTCCCGGAAGACACCACAGCTCCGGAGGTCTTTCTGGGCCCCATACCAAGCCAATATCACTGGGACACCCCAGATGGAGCAGGTGCAGTCTCGCCGCCTACTACAGATGGAATCCCAGTGACGAAGAGCTTCCACAAGCAAGGCCCAGGTATGCGGTTCCAGAACTAAATCTCCAGGCCAAATGGTGGCAGAGGACCCTAGCTGTCCTTCCCTGGGTCCCCATCCACTCAACAGACTGGCTGTTAAGCTCACAATTAGCCTCTGGGTAGCCTCTTAGCGCACCAACAGCCCTGGCCCAGAGACTCCCAGTTGAATCCCAAAATGGAATAGTGCCATACAGAGATGTCTTTGGAATCCAACCATTTACAATCCAGAAATTTACATTTATACTCTTGGCTGTGCAAACTCTCATGATATTCAAAATGAGCAATGGGAAAATAAATTATCTAGCATTTGCCCCAGGCAGGTAGGCTTGAATGGTGGTGGGAAAATTCGAGCAAAACTTAATGCCCAAAATTAGAGAGACTATTGGAGAAATTGTCTCCCACAGAGACAGGGTAAGGGCTGGGATGCAGGGCGGCGGGGGGGTGGGGGGGATACTGGGAACATGGGTGGTAGAAAATGTGCTCTGGTGGAAGGATGGGTGTTCCAACATTATATGCCTGAATCTCAAACATCAAAGCTTTGTAACTCTATCTCACAGTGATACAATTAAAAAATAAATAAATAAAAAAAATAATGTGGACTTCATGCCAATTCAGTCAGCTTAATCAATGGCTGAACATAGCAGTACTCCTACATTATTAAAAAAAAACATATATTATTAACTCCTTGAGAATCTTTTGTTTTTATCTTTATCTCTAAGATCATTGCCTTACTGTAGATGTTTCCACGGAATTACTACAATTGTTTGTTGATGAGTCTCTGGCTGAAGTCCATGTCCTTTCAATCAATACTTCACACTGCAAACATCATGACCTTCCAGAAACACAAATTTTTGAGCATGGCTCTCACAGCATGCCTCATTAGCTTTCTCATTTACTTATATTCAGGACTTTCAAGGGAAAGAGGAACCCCAGATTTGTTATTCTAGAAACCATCATCCTTTGGGTTACAAAGCAAAAAACAACCAAACAAAAAAACCCCTCTTGCTGTTTTCAAATAATGTTATGGACAGGAAATGGTCCTGTGAGTTAGGGTTCAAGGGTAAAAAGAATGACAGAGCTAAAGAAATTCCAACCTATGACTCGTTTCTAGTTGACCAAGGTCAGCCACCTTCTGGTCCCTGCCAATCTCCCCAGTATCAACTCTCCCACTCCATGTGCTTCTTTTACACCTGTTCTCAAAACTCTTCCCCAATCTGGATTCTATTGAGTCCTCAGAGCTGTTGTACTCTCTCAAGTATTTGGTATTAGTCTTCTCTGCCCAGAATTCTCTCCTGCTTGTCCATCTGCTCTGGTCTTCAGTAGGGAATGTTCACACTCCTCTCAAGACCAGTAATAAATGTCAATGTAGTCACAAGTACTTTTTACATAAAGCCTGGCCAAATCTCTACTACAGAACTAATGACTCTCGTGTATACATCTATTATCATACCAAAGGCACTGCTTTACTTTGAATGCTCATAGATCTGCGTAATCTCTAAGTAAATGTAGCTTAATTGGGCATAGGATCTGGATCTGATCACACCTGGAATCTGAAGTCTGAATACACAGTATGAATACATGAATAAATCTCAAGATATCTAACTGGGAGGATCTGTGGAGACTACAAAAAGATGAGATTCTTTGGTAAAATGAAATGGTAAGATGAAAAAGATGAGATTCTTTGGGTAAAAATACTTTAAACACAGTTACATAGAAGGCGGGAGTGGGAGAAATTAGAGATAGATGTCTAAAATTTACCATGATACAAGTTGTTATCCCCACATATGAGAGTTTAAGAGTTATGAGGCTGGAGTGACAGTACAGCAGGAAGGGCACTTGCCTTCAATGTAATAGACTTGGGTTCAATCTCCAGCATCATATATGGTTCTGTAAGCACTGCATGAGTATTCCCTGAGTGCAAAGCCAAGAGTAAGCCCTGAACAATAGAGAATCACTAAATCTCAATTTTACTGTTGGACATCCAAGTTACAGCTAGAGAATATGCATTTCACTGACAAAAAATTTTAGGTCTTCATCATAGAGTCAGAACCTTAATAATAAAGATTTCAATTTTGTGACATTCAAGATTTCACACTATATTTTTAACACATCAGACACAGCTAAAATTATATTTATGTTAGATTTGTAGTTTGTCAAGTGGCTTATTAGATTGTTCTAAATGCATGTCTGGGTAAATTTAGGTTTATTAAACAATTATAAGTTGTCAGTCACTATAAGTGGATTTACTTGGTGAGTTGTATAATAAACACTAATCATTTGGAGACTATTTAAAAAAACAAAACTTAGCCATCTTTAAGTAAGCCTATTTCCATTTAAAATTGACAAGGATAATCCAGAGAGTGGGTGTCAGAGAAGAGGGGAGGTAAGGGTGGAGAAGTTCTAAAATTATACACTGGTGAAGTAGAAAAGAGAAAGGAAATTCAGTGAAATGCTTGTGTGAGTGTTGGTATTGAGTAGTGAGGCAAAGAGCTGCTGAAATTTCATGGTTTCTCCTAAGCCTACACAAGCTGCAATGGATTGCTCATACACAGAGACTAGTGATAGAAATGGTAATTTGCCTGCCCTGAAGAATGTTCTGGAGTGGATAGCATCCCAGCAGAACAATTTTTTTTTGGTATGAGTTCATACTCAAGAGTGTTCAGGGTTTACTCTTGGTTCAGTGCTCAGGGATCATTCCTGGTGTGCTCAAAATTGAGCCAGGATTGACCATATGCAAAGGAAGTGCCCTTTCTCCTGTACTATTTTTCTAGCACAGGAATGGCAGTCATTTGGAACATTACACAGTATTTAATTGGAATAGTGGGTATTTCCCAGTGGTTAAATCTGCAACTGCCAGTAAGGTGGAAATTTAACAGGAAAACAATGAACTTTTTAAATAGATATATGTATATATATATATATATATATATATATATATGAAAAATAAATTTAAACTAGTAAGCCCATGATTTACTGCTGCTGTTTCTTGAGATGAGGTTAACATTAAAGAAGAGAAAAAAGAGAGGATGAATTTAAAAGCCAATTTAAAGAAAAATATGAAGTAAATGAGAGTGAAAATGCTATACAGTTAAGATACTAGAGGTATTTTGCAAATTATTCAGTTACAGAAATTGTCTTATCCTTGTTATAAACTAACAGTATTCAAAGATTTTTAATAATATATTATTTCAATTGGTTTATGAGGAAGAAATTAAGGAACAGGAATCTGCATCCAGGAAACAAATAAATAGCCCAAAAGGCTGGATTCTCGTGATTGCTTTTGGTCTTAGGAGTTGGGAGAATTATCACCAGCAAGATTCTAATAGATTATGCTTGATGAAGAACCTAAAAATGCAAGTTGATGACAAACCCACAGGTAGAGCAAAATATATGTAAGAAGTTAAGAATACCTACTTTCCCTTTTTTATCGTGTTCCTGCCAAGCAGTGGATCAAGTACTGGATCTATCATTTCCTCAAGATTTTCAATTAAGATGACATCTCCAAAGGCCAAAGCAGTTTCAATGGCATTCAAAAACCTAAAGATTACAACAAAAATGCAAATAAATCTAGGTAAAACATTCAAAATTTTTATGTTATAAAGCTATATTTTATATTTTAAGTGGCACAAACTAATTTGTAGAAAACCATTTTGTAGGGTATTCTTCAACTAGATACCCAGAAAGCAAAAACTAGATTTGAGATAGATTTTCAACTATAAGTCCATTTGTAATCTAGTTATTTTTGATAATAACCCTAGTTGAAATAAATGTAATATATCCCATATTATAGTTAAATTTATTCAATTGTTCTTTCTTTTTGGAAAAAAAACCCTTTTAGTATCTTGTGATTTTATCAAACTTGCACTTTTTAGACGTTAACATTTAGTTATATAAACTGGTAAACTATCATTTTAGTTTGTGCTTCTGCTCTCCAAAAATAGCTCTTCTTTTGTAAAGCAATTTTCTACAAGTATTTGAACAAGGAAGAACTCCATTTATCCACACAATTGCAGACATTCCTTATTTTATTTCATGAATAAAAAGATGATGGAGAGTCAAACAAAACATCAATAAATCTAAAGTTCTCTATTCACTATTAGCTCAACACTAATTACATACAAGATAACTTTCTACTTATCAAACAATATTGTCATGAGGATCCCATGAAAGAAAATCTCAGTGTGGATTTTATTCACAAAAAGTGACACAAAAAGTTTGATCAGGAAATTCCGTTTTCTTGGGCAGCCCCCATCCGGCCTGGCTGTTGTGTTAAGACCATACTACAGGCGAAGTACAAATTTAGGACTAGGATGCAAATACAATAAGCCTTCATGCACAGTTGACAACTGCTGCATGACTGCATGCCAAACATACAAAAGGATTATTGTAAGACATCCTATTACCACTCAGTCTTACAAAATGGAGACGTATCTCCTCACAGAAATAGGTTTTGTTCTAACCTTCCACCTAATTTTTCCTTTGGGTATGTGGATGCTGTCACTCAAAGTGCTCTTTGAACAGAGAGGCTTGATGGGAAATGCCAATGAGCAAATCAAGTAGTTGTAATCAATTGGACTATTGACAGATGACAGAGAGGCTCAGCAAAAGCCAACTTCATCAGTGCCCACCCCTTCCACAGAAGCAGTGCAACAGACCAATCCTTCTGAATGCACTCACCCTTTCTGGCCCAAATGTGTGACTTTTAGGTCTGCTCCGTACTTGTTCTTGATCCACTTAATGCCCTGTTGCTGGGGGTCAATCATCAGGGGCCAGCGCTCACAGTGTGTTAGGATGGTGGCATTTTCGGTGGACATCCTGTCACTGGGCAGCCCTTCATTATTCCAGGCTGCGATGGCCGCATCGTCTGTCAGCATGGTGATCACGTCCAGGCCTTCAGTTACCGGAATGGAAACCTTTCAAACCAGAGTGCAATACTGTGAGCTGCTGCTGTGGAAAGGACTCAGCATGACATGCAAGAGAACAAGAGACCATAGCTAAAAGGACACACATAAATTTTCTGTGGACTTTCTGAAGCCACATGCAATGCTCCTCATAAAATGAAATGTGAATCCATGAGTGTGGCACTTATGGCAGTACTGCATGCATGTGCATGTCCGAGCACACACACACACACACACACACACACACACACACACACACAAACACACACACACACACACACACACACACACCCTATAGCTATTCCAATATGGTGAGAGTAAATTTAGACACCAGAGTGTGAAACACTAGAAACATATTCACCCCTGGAGTAATCAACATACCACTCACCTGGTATTCATTCATTATGATATGACAACATGGCAAAAGAACAACTGATGCAAAAGCACAACGTTGGATCCTATGGTAATTCTATATTTAAATGTTTAACTTTTTATGACTAACTTCTGCTATAGTCACCTTTTCAGTCAGCCCCAAACACTCCTCACTCCTTATGACTTTCTACTTCTTTTCTTCTCGGGCTCATTGTTCTTTTAACTGATTATCTACTTATAAATCCTGCACATAGACAACATTCTCTGTCTTCTCTTTCCACTTTCAGACTTGAGTCCTGTTAGTGAAAGCTTCCTGGCTGGGATTACAAATGGATAATTTTCAAATTCATCTTTGTTTTCTTAAAGCTACTTGGCCACACTTAACACCCACTTCCCCTGGGTACCTCACTGGGTATCTCTCATATTGCTATCTCTTTTTCACACTTGTTCTAATTTCAGTTGTCTTTTCTCTATTCAGCTGACTCTGCCTTCTCCTACTTCCCAGAGAACAGAGGTCAGCAAGCGCTTCTACATCAAGCACCTTTTTCTCTAATGCTCCCTCTGCCTGTGCTTACCTTTGTTGCTTATATTAGTGAATTGAAGGCACCTGCTTCTCCCATTTGAAAGTTAGCTGTTCTCTTTACCTTATTCTGGAGCCCAACCTCAACCATTTCCTGATGCTCATACCTCAAAGGGTGAAGACCCTTTGTTTTGTTTTTGTTTGTTTGTTTTTCCAATCTTAACACTGCCATATAGGTGGCTCTTTCAGGGTCAGGGGAATGAGACCCATTATATTTACTGATTTTGGCATATCGAATACACCACGGATAGCTTGCCAGGCTCTGCCATGTGGGCGGGATACTCTCGGTAGCTTGCCAGGCCTTCTTCACTCAAATGAGAGAAAGAATCTGGAGTTCTGACCTCCAACGACAGTCAAGAATCAGGGACACTGTCTCGTTTGCCAAGGCGTTGAAAATCAGATGGGCTGTACATGTAATGAGATTTGGAGATGACCACTGGACTAGAGCCATTACCGACTGGATTTCACGGGACGGCAAAAGATTGCCCACCTATGAGATGGTCAGACTTCTTTGTCAAGACCCTGAACAATCGGTTTGAGGCTCTTCGTGCTCCTAGAACGAGCAGACCCCATTGGGCTACACTAGCACACGACAGGGATGAATGGCGACGTTACTGGTGCCCGCTCGAGCAAATCCATGAGTAATGGGATGTCAAATGATCAAGTGATCAAGTTTTTCCAATCACAACTACTGGTGCTCAGCGCTTTCTCCTAGCTCTGTTCTCAGGGATTACACCTGGTGGGCCCTGGGGAGCATGAGTTCTGGGGATCTAACCCACCTGCCCTCCTATCTCTTTGGCACTGTTCTTCACCTCTTTATCACCAGCAATTCCATCACCAGTTCTTTGGAGGCCCAGGAACACTGCCTGACTCCTGTTATGAAAACAAAGCCCTCATTCATCTTCGATGACTCATTTCTGCTGATTGATCTCCCTTCCTTCACAGGCAAGTTCTGTAAAGGCAGGTTCTTTTCGGTCTACACCCTCACTTCTCTCTTGCTGTGTAACCCAGTGTATTTGGCTTTGGGTTCACTAAAGCTTTGTGCTCATTTCATGACTACATTTTCAAATCTGAGGACTTTCAATTCTCAGTTTTCTCATTGTCTCTACAAGTCTGGGTACTTTTGACCATTGTCTCCACCTCTTGCCTGTTTCTCCATTTTTTTTTAAACAGCTGTTTATTCATCTTCTTCTGGACCCCATTTACATATCTGCATGGAACTGGTTTTCTAACCTCCTCTAAATCTTGCTAGGGGATCTCACCCCACCTAGAGGTTCAAGAACTGTCTACACGTTGATGACACCAAGACTGACTCTCCACTGCAAATTTATGTTCTTTTTTTTTCTTTTTAGGTCACACCCAGCGATGCTCAGGGGTTACTCCTAGCTTTGCACTCAGCAATTACTCCTGGCGGTGCTTGGGGGACCATATGGGAAGCCGGGGATCAAACCCAGGTTAGCGGTGTACAAGGCAAACACCCTACCCGTTGTACTATTACTCCAGTCCCGGAATGTCATGTTCTTATCAGATCTCTAGCTGGTTAATTTCACAGACATTATAAAATAAGTTGTTGCTTAAACCAAATTCATCATTCCTCCTAAACCAATTTTCATCTCAGACAATGGCATTTTCATACACTTAATTTCAATAGCAAAATGACAATGTCTTTGAACATTGGTGGGAATGAGATAAAAATTAACTAGTTGAGAGCAGTTGGTGATCATAGATGGCAGAACACTCTAGAACTGTCCATCCAGAAGTAAAAGGACGTGGCAGGAACAGACAATCCAAGAGGTTGGGCAAAGATAAAACCTTACAGCACAGGAGAGGAGCTCTATCTGAGCAGACAGTGGCAGGGATGAGTGTGGCTGTGAGACTTTCATACACTATCACATAATATAGATCTGGAATATCCTTCTGCATTCTTGAATGCTTACTATTTTCATCCAGCTTTCTTTCTTTATCTGCAGAATCACTCTGTTGTAATTACTGTTCTATTAGGATATATTTAATATCATTAGGGATGAGTGTCCTCTTACTCATTCATTCCAAAATTAGTGTGGTATTCTTAAAAACACATCATCCCAACAAACTTTAGAGATACTGGGTCAAGTAAAATATGACTCCCTTGGGAATTCTGATTTGTGATATTTATTCCCTAACTTGAAAGAGAATGGATTCATTTAGAATAGGACATCTTTACTTCATGGTATATCTCAAGAATTGTTGACTCTTCTGCTTTATATTGCTGATCTCCCAAGTTTACCTTAACACGTAAACGTGCCATTACCAAATGAGGATGCTTGCTGTTTCATTTACTAACCATTATCCATTCCCTCAGAAAAAGAAGCCAATTGATAAGACAGAGATATTTACGTACAGACAAGTGGAGAAAACACCCTATATATAAAGAGCTACTTCTTGGGAAGGCAGGATAAGGGAACACTGCTGGAAGAAAATTGAGGACATCATCTAACATCAATAAGCAATTTGAGCTCTGCATGTGTTCCCCTAGCCAGTTTTCTCATTTTGTTGCAACTGAATTCAAATGTACTAGAACTTGAGAATCTCAGAAAGTGGAAATCTGTTCCACAAACACAAAGATTTCTTCTGGTTTATGTGGCACATGCCACCCAATATTTTCAGAAGGTAAATTCAAAAAAGGATACAAGAGATGAATGAGAGAATAAGTACATGGTGTTAGGGTCATTTCTAAGTTTGAAATGTAGTCTTGGTCTTAACAGAAAAGGAGGCAGTGTCGTGATGACTGAGAATACTGAGAGGGCCACAATAAAACACAGGAGCACAGCTAAAGCAAATATATGAGAAGTAGATGCTGTCATAAAATTATCATGTCACTTCAGTCATGCATTAGAATGGTTAAGCCATTTAAAGTAAATTTGTTTTGGTGGAGAGATGGGTGATGGAACACTGTATGACTGAAACCTAATAATAAGCAGCTTTGTAAGGGACTATCTCATAGTGATTCAATAAAAAAAATTAATAAAACAAAGTTTGTTTTAAGAAACAAAATTCATTCTCATGGAACCCCCATGTTTGTAAATAGAAAAATACAAAATAATTCATGAGAACTTCTCAGGAACACATACACTAAATAATGTGCCTGCAATTAAAAATATCTTAAAACTGAGAAGGCACAATTTCTCTGCAAAAGTGTAAAGTATTTAAAGAACAACACAACACTCCCATCCACATTAGTTCAAAAAGTTATATACACACTGATACATAAGTGCTAACTAAAATAACTAGGATTTGGAGACAACTTCAATGTCCAGTGACATATGCAAGGATAACAAAATTGTTGTATGTACACAAAATGGAATATTATGCAGCTGAAGAAAAGATGAACCCTCACAATTTGCTGCAACTTGGATGGAACTGGAAGTCATTACCTCCAGAAGGCCCCAGCACCAGAGGGCCCTGCAGGCATTACATCCTTGGGCCTGAGTGTCTCTAAGAGTAGAACCAGAGCCCCTGAGTGCTGCTTAGACACACCCTCATCCCCCAAATAAAATTGCAATATGAAGCTACTGAGAGTATCTCGTCCACACGGCAAGACTGGCAAGCTACCCATGACGTATTCGATATGCCAAACACAGTAGCAATTGTCACAATGGAGACGTTACTCGGCCTGCTCAAGCAAATTGATGAACAACGGGAGGACAGTGACGGTGACGATGCTACGAAACAATGAGATTACCTTCTGTTGAAGAAAGGGAACCCAACTGCAGTCTACCAGCTCTTGGCGATACTGTTTTGTAAAGGAGCCGACATAAGACACAAAGGCAGCCATAAGGAGAACATCTCCACAGAGTGTCTTCTCTTGAGCTTCAAAGGATTTAATTGACTGACCCCAGCGAATCTTCTCTGACTGAAAAATAAAATTGCTCCAGTGTAATTGTTGTAATTGCCGGGTGACCATCAATTCAACACACAGATTACTTAAATGACCTTATGGCACTTTCCATCCATGTCCCTTCTGCACACCAGAAGTGGTTGGCATGACAACTATAATCTTCCATATGTTAGAAAACCCTCCTGAAGGAGCTCTCATATTCTCACAGGAGATTATGACTACAAAACAGAATTAGATTCTGAACAGCTTGTTGGATGCCCTAACACTTAGAGTGTGAGTGGGGTTTTTCTAGAAAGTCGCACAGTTGCTCTTCTGACTCTGGGAGTGGAAGACCAAGAGCTTTGGCTAAGAGACGTGATGTTGTGACTTAATTTCAGCCACACTGCTCTCCACTCTTTCCACTTTTCAGCAGCATTATGATGCTGTACTAGGAAAACTTCAGACAAACAAACCAAAATATAACAAAACCACAAAAGTGGCTATGGACTGATTAGAGAAAAAAGGAAAATGACCAAAATCATTCATATTAATTAAAACATAAAACTGGCCAAAGAGATAGTAGAGAGGGTAGGGTGCTTGCCTGGAATGCAGCTGACTCTGGTTCTATTCAAGGTACAGCATATGGTCCCCCAAGTATTGCCAGGAATGGCCCCTGAGCACAGAGTCAGGAGCAGACCCTATGCACAGTTGGTATGACTCCCAAGCCAAAAAACAAGTAATTAAATAAAACACAAAGCTAAACTAGTAACCTCTCCTGGATTCTATTTATTAAAGGGCAATGGCAGTTATGAAACTAATTTTTCTCTAATATCATCATTATGAAACTAATTTTTTCTCTAATATAATCATTTGGTCAGTGGAAGATCTTAAAACCTATATAAAAGATGGAAATCAGGAGGATTTCAGAAGTCTTTAAGACAGCATACTCAAAGAATGCTTCTGAAGTCGTTTTACCCACTTGACTGGCCATTTAAAATCTGATTTCCAGGTTAAATATATGGAGCCCTTATACTGGATTTGATTAAACTACAATACATATATGTACGTTGAAAGGAGTGTAGGATAGCATACTGATTCATTTGCTTTCTAGACATGCTAAAATTTATATAATATTTCAAAATCATGCAAATTAATGGGACTGGAGTTTTAAAAACTAGCAATTTGATAATAAAATCAAAGCCCCCCCCCCCCCCCCCACGCATTAACTGGTAGGGCAGGAATTTAGCTTTTATAAAAGGAGCCAGAGGACAGAAAATAAAAATGATATATGTCAGAATAGTCTGGAATCTCAGTTCCCTGCAAGTCATCATATACCCACAACACTGAGAAAATGAAATTAGCAGATGAAATGGTTATCAAAGTGATTTTCATACAGTTTCCTTTCTTTGCTTGATAAAGATCACTACAAGTTAGTTATATAATTAAACACTAAAGAATGTCAATTCTTTAGTCTTCTTTGCAGAATTCATTCCTTGGCCTCCTCAGCTACAGACAATATATCCATTAATTTTGAAGAGGAATCTCTCACCTGCCCTCCCGCCATCCTTGTTGTCTTTGGTTGGTAAATAATATACAATAAAGTGCACCCACCTCATTCTCCAAAATAGCTTTGAAATTTGAAGATTTACTAAACATAGACTTATTGGCCATTGAAAGCGTCAATAATTTCACTATCACCCACGCAACATAAATCATTACTGACACTGTCTAACAAGGGTTTAGGAGTTGGAACATGTCCTGTAATAAATTTCTAGACAGTTAAAAATCACTATAATTTTATTCTAATGCATTATAGATTGCCTGTAATGTCATCCTGGCTGGGGTGACCCATTTCTAATTTTGAACAGCTGTTCAGCTCAGGAGTTAGTTAATGATTAAATATAAATTGCCTGATTTATTAGTCTGAATGGCTGAGCTTCCAGGTCAATGCTATATAGACAAAATCATCAGTCTTGATGCTTTTCAGAAGTTAACTGTCTCGTATTCTAGTCAGAAATAATTTGTCCTTAAAGGAAAAGGTCTGACATTCTTAATTAATCCTTTAAGAATGTATGTATGCATATACATATGTATCCATCCATACACACATATATTTTTAGTTAACATTTTCCATCCTTTACCTGCTTTGCTGTCTAAATCAACGTGACCTAAATGAAGTCTTGGGAAGATAGTGCACCGTATTACAGACGCAGGCTGGAGCGTGTTTTTCCCGTGAGGAGACTTTCAGATATTTTATAAGTACCTCTGGGAAACAGTCTCATTGGATTCCACTTTTTCTTTTCCTCAAGTCTGTCACCAATGGTGACTCCTTCAAACGGCCTAACTACTACTCAAACTGAGAGATGTTGTAAACTTCACTGACAGTGGTGGGATTTCTCAACTGTCCTGAGAAGTATGAGCATCCAAAAGGCTCCAGAATTTTTTGCTTCACAGGAGGCTCCCAAATAACACACTTATTCATACAACAAATATCTATTGAGACCCAAGACATGCTACAATGGGTTCTGTGATCAAGCATGAATTTCCTGTTCTTGAAGACTTAATATTCTATTTAGAAATAAAAGCCCAAACACCACATATGTATTCATTACATATATATATAAGTGAAAGCTATGTGGTGATAAAATATGAAAAACAACAAAGCAGAGTTAAGTGGAAAGTAGTGAGCAGGGGTGGGGGTGTGTATGTGTGTGCATACATGTGTGCTTGTGTGTTTGGATGAGGTGCAGGAGGGATGCATGCTTACTTCAGAAGACAGATAACTAGGTGATAAGGAGAACTGTTAGCAGAGAGCTGAAAGAAGTAAGGGAGTCCCCGATGGGGTTATTGGGGAATGGGAAAGTCATGTGGCAAAGACCACAGGGTGAAGAATGTAGGATGGAGAAGGGCAAGAAGGCCAGTAAAGACAGATCAAGAGATAAGGTGGCAGAAGTGAGAATAGAGGCGGTCATGAGCTGGTCATCTATGGTTTAGTGGGCCTGGTGGGGCCTTTGGCAATGACCTTGAACTGGACAATTAGTTCTTGGGGAATTCTGAGAGCACTGGCATGAATGAACTTCATATTTTGAAACATCCTTTAGCCACAGTGAAAGGAGTGGGCTTTAAGAGGATAATGGTGGAAGCTGGAGAGGTTGTCCAGGGTAGAGATGCAAGTGGTGAAGTAAAGGTGGTGGGAATGCCATGATTCAAAATGGATTTTCAATGGAGAGCCACAGAGTATACAGACTAAATACAGGGGCAATCTTGTATATGAATAGACTGGATAGGAGTAAGGAGAAAGAAAGCAGATTGAGGATGACTCCAGAGTCTGTATATGACAACTGGAAGAGATCTGCACTCAGTGAGATGAGCTAGAAGGAATTTTGCAAAATTAACGACACGTTGATGCATCATGAATTGTGAGTTTCAGAGGGATGATGGGTTTACACTGGCAATAAGTTTAAATCAGAGTTTTAAAGTCTGTTGTAACAATAAGAAACTAGGGTATGGCTCAGCCCAGTACTCTCCTAACTTACAGTTCCCCCTTCCTGGTGATTACAAATCTGATTGAGTGATAATGTATCCATTCTCATGATGAGATAGTCTGAGACTGGCTTAGTCAACTCTGATCATTCTTCTTCCCACTCTTTGGGCCCTCTATGGTGCTCAGTGTCATAACCCTATTCTCCCTGAAAGATCTGTGGCAATTCACCATCAGGGTTTCCAGGAAAACAGCAATTTCCATAGGAAGGGAAAAAATACAGCAGACTGACATTACACTTCATGCTTTACTTATAATGTATAGCAGCCATTTGTGATGGTGTGATAAATACTAAGAATCAAGGACCACATGCTAAGTATGAAGAAGCAGAGAGGCACAGAATTTGTCTATCTGATCACTAATAACAGAAGTTAACATGGATAATGATCCACCCCTGGAACTTTTATAATATGTGAAAAGTAAACTCCCTTTTAAGTCATGAAATTATTTCCTTCAACTAAATGCATTTTTATAGTGAATTTTAAGCATAAGCTTTTAGCTTGCATTTAAATATAATTACCTTGGGGCTTGAGAGATAGTAAGAGGTTAAGATGTTTGCCTTATAAGCAGTTGACCCCAGCTTAATCCCTGGCACCTAGCACTGCCAGAAGTGATCTCTGAGCACAGAGCCAGGGGTAAGCCCTGAGCACAATCTGGTATGGCCCCAAACAAAAATTAAATAAAAAATTAAAATAACTGCCTTATTGAGATCTGATTTACATACTATGGAATTCACCCTTTAAGAGTACAAAACGGGGCTGGAGCAATAGTACAACAGGTAGAACATTTGCCTTGCATGCAACTGACCTGGGTTCAAACCCTGGCATCCCATATGGTACCCCGAGCACTGCCAGGAGTAATTCCTGAATGCAGAGCCAGGAATTCCTCAGTAACCCCTGTGTATTGCCAGGAGTGACACAAAAAAACAAAAAACACAAAACGTTAATGTATTCACAGATTTGTAAAAGCATGCCCACTAAGTTTAGAACTTAATTCTGTACACACAAGAGAATCTCTGTAACCATAAACAATGTAAAAAGTGCTCATCACCTGTTGAGCTCCTGACCTGGATATAAATAAAGTTAAACTTTATTTCTATAGATATGCCGATTTTAGACATTTTAAATGCATGTAATCATGTACTATGGAGTCCTTTGTACCAGTCCTCCTTCATTCAGTATATGCGTCAGATCTATTCATGTTGTAGTACATATCAATGCTTCAATTCTTTGTACAGTTGAATAATATTCCATATATTAATGCATTGCACAGTGAACAAATAAAACTGGACACTTGCAGATTGTCAAAGGCTATATCTTTTTCTACCACTCATGTTCAAACAGAAAGAGGTGAACAAGAATTATTAAATATTAACTCCAGCATGCCAGTCACCAAGAAAATCTATCTCAAAAAACAGTAAAACAAGGAAGTTTAGATTGAAGGAATATTCTGTGGGTAGAATTTAATTGCAAATACCTGGTAAAAGTATCAGGCCAGGGACGATAGCTCAAGCAGAAAAGCACATGCCTTGTCTTCACAAAACCTTAAGTTAAATCCCAGCACCACATAAACTCCCATCTGGAGGCCCATAACCATTGCTGGGTCTGAGCACCAAACTGCCAGGCCAATACTACTGGGCTAAGCAAGGCTGGGAATGACCCTAGGACCTAAAAGCTCTGTTGAGAGTGGCCCCTATTTTTAAAAAAAAATGAGACCAGAGTTTAATGTCACAGCATATCCAGCAGTTGTCCTGAGTTCATAACATATGCTCAGCCAACTATATATTCAGCTCTAGAGAGAGTTGAGTGGGTAGGGTGCTTGCCTTGCATGCACCTGCCAGACTGGAAAAGTACAATTCCCTGAGCACCACTAGGATCCTTGAGTGTGTGGCTCAAGGATGTGGCCACTGGATGTGGCTCCCAAGCAAAATGAACTCCTACAAAATTTATGGCTATGGGGTGAAAAAACAAAAGACAAGAAACATAGACTCATTCGCTTTTTTCTTTTGTTGTTAGAACAAAGTAGGAATGATAATGAAATATTTCCCTTTGCTTTTTTTGGGGGGGGTATTGTCTAATTTTATTTTATTTATTTGTTTTTATTAGTGAAACACAGCGCCTTAGACCGCTCGGCCATCCTGACAAGCCAACATGGCCGACCCGAGTTCGATTCCTCCGCCCCTCTCGGAGAGCCTGGCAAGCTACCGAGAGTATCTCGCCCTCACGGCAGAGCCTGGCAAGCTCCCCGTGACGTATTCGATATGCCAATCACAGTAACAACAAAGTCTCCAATGGAGACGTTACTGGGCCCGCTCGAGCAAATCGAAGATCAATGGGAGGGCCTTTACTTACTTTACTTACTTACTATTAGTGAAACACCATGAGGTAGAGTTGTAGACTTATAAGCTTTCGTACTTGGGTTTCAATTATACAATGATCGAGTACCCATCCCTCCACCAGTGCCCATTCTCTACCACCAATGATCTAAGTAGCCCTCCCACTCCCCCCCCCACCCCACCCCGCCTCTGTGGCAGAACATTCCCTTTTGCTCTCTCTTTCCTTTAGGGTGTTGTAGTTTGCTATAGATGAATTGAATAGTCATCGTATTTAATCTATAGTCTACTTTCGGCACACATTTCACATCCCGAGCGAGTCCTCAAACATCCTTTACTTGGTATTTCCTTCTCTATCAGAGCTGCCTTTCCCTCCAGCATGTGCTGCCGGTTTCCAAGCCCTGGAGCAGACCTCCTGGTACTTATCTCAACTATTCTTGGGTGTTTGACTCCCATTCTGTTACTTATTCCCCTTTGCTTTGATTCTGTGTTTATTTAGCTGCACTGACAACATCTGATGACAGCATAAGGAGAAAACAACCTGGTGTAAAAGGCCAACTTGCCTCCAGTTCCTTCACAAGCCTGTTGGCCAACTCAATGGTGGTGTGGCTCTGGTTCACCTCTTCTTGACACCGCACTTTCTCAGCAGTTGCTTTTTCAAAAGAAGCCGTGAGTTTGCTGAGATTTCGATCCAGATCCTGCAGAAGAGTTCAGGTGAACTTGTGAGCTATATATATTTTTAATTAAAACAAAAATACTACAATAATCTTAAAACAGCAATTCCCTCAAGGGAAATGAAACAAATGTTTTCAGAGATGGAGTGATAGTACCATGGGTAAGGTGTTAGCTTTGCAGTGGTTGACTAGGGTTCAAACCCCAGCACTCCATATGGTCTCCCAAGTACCACCAGGAGTGATCCCTGAGTACAGAGGCAGAAGTGAACCCTGAGCACTGCCAACTATGGTCCCTTAACAAACAAAAAAATAATTAAATTAAATGCTTATCTCACAGCTGAGAAAGTAGAGGCTCATGAAGGCACAGTAACCAGTGCAGAGTGATACTGTAAAGAGAAGTGCCAAGATAACGAGCTAAGCAGTCTGGTTCCAGAATCACTATATGCTAGTGTCTGACTTTTACTACTGAGCCATGAAAGTTGTTTAAGGGAAGAAAGAAATACTGAACATTTCCACCTTTGCAGTATAAGAGTCTACCACAGCAGAGAAGGAACATCTGAATGAGCATATGAATTAAGACACTCAGGAACAACTGAGCTCCTTTCTGTTTAGCAGTGCTCAGATGTAAAGGCAGAATCCTAAGGTTGAGCTTCAAAGAGGGTGGGAGTGAGTAACTCTTTACCCAAACTCTCTGAGCCTCCTTTAGTTTTATAGATTGCACTCACCTCAAGTTTTTTCCTGATCACCTCTAGTTTTTCAGTGGCTGTGGCCAAGTCTAAGTTTGCTTGGGCTAACGCCTGCCGTTTGGGCTCCACGTCACAGTACACCTGAAAATCCAGACAGGGTTGAACTCAACAGGTAAGGATGATGCTATGAGGACACATAACCAATCAGCCCTATCTTTGCTTTCCAGCAATTAAATTATGATTTAAACGTCTAATTCATCTAGCAGTTTGTTCTTTGTTTCTTAGAAAAAGGGATAGCATCCAATGGCAGGGCAAACATCCACAGTCTTGCAAGTTCTTTGTAGTAGTCCATTATTTACTCATCTATTCTATCTTGAATAAATGGAATTATAAGTACTCGCATTAAATGTTATATAGGTCAAACACATATTCTAAAATTAGTTCTTCATTAAATTTGAAATCCTCTTATTTCTAGAGATTACAGTGTGCAGGAATTGTAGCTAAAGTTACGATCAAGTTGGCCTTTAAGGTACAAAATAAGTATGAAAAAATTTTCTGCACCCAGAAAGGAAAAAGAGACTCCCCTCACATAATGTTGATCACATTTTCACTTCCTTCTCTAACTTCCTGGTGACTTTAAGTATGTGCTGTTCAAAAGGCCAATTTGAGAATTCAGTAGGTGCGGGGGGGCGGGGGGGGGGCAGGTTGGGGGGAGGGGTAATTTGTCTCTGATTGGAACAAGAGATGTAAAAAAATAAAACTGTTATTCAGATCCAAGGGCTATGTTAACGGTTGCTTTTTTATACCCAGTTCTCTGAAAAGTACTTAAACATAGTATTGGTACAGTAAGTATTTGAGAATCAGATGAGTAAATAAAAGGATGGCCTATATCTGAACTGACTGAAAGTACAAACTTCAGATATGACCATAAAATCAACAAAACAGCTGGGCCTTGAGGGGCTCGGTGGTGCTGAGTGTGCCCTCAGCCCCCTGAGCTCTCTCTGGTCCTCAGCTGCAAGTTTTGCTTTGGAAGCAAAAACTATTTCACAGAGTATTTTCAAGTCAACATGACATTAATATACATGTGTATACAATTTGGGGGTTTGGGGGATCACATCTAGCAGTTTGAAGGGCTTACTCCTGTCTCTGAGCTCAGAGGTCACTCTTAGCAGTGTTTGTGAGACCTTACAGAATGTTGGGAATTAAACCCAATTTGACTGTGTGCAAGGCAGGTAACCTGCCCACTGTACTATTTTCTGGACCTGAAATTAATGTTCTAATGTAAAAAATATAATTCATCGACACCACAAATTTATATCTAATCATATTAATTGCTGCTATTTCTTCTAAACTAGCTAATCTCCCTCCCCTCAAAAAAACAAAAAAAAAAGATTGTTTCCCACATTTCAAATATCTTCCTCTATAAATTTGTTTAATCTCGTGGACTTTCATGACTCACTCTTAGAATTTCTATCATATTCATAAAATTAAATGTCAAATTATTATTATTATTACTATTATAATTATCATTTTTGCTGGCCTAGAAAGCAGTGGTTTATGGTCCTTTTGTGAGCGATGCTCATGAACCATCAGGTCACAACCGGTACCTCATAGAATTTAATGATGTTGATGACCCAGGCACAGAGACCAGCGGCTGCAAAAGACTTGGTCCGTATCAGGTTTGGATTGAACTCCGGATCTTTCAAATACTGTTCATTCACCACTTTCAGACAGTTTTCTGGAATGTGCTCTTTGTCATAGTTAATTAAAGCTTGCAAAAAATCATCAACCTATGGAGCAAAAAGACATATTGCAATGAACCCATTTTGGCTGCAGAGAAAATTCCAAGATCAAAAGTTAAAATCAGCTTTTAGGACTCACATAACAAAGGCAAAATTGGCAAGCTACACTTATCCTACTGTTTGACTTTTTCAGGCTTTAGAGTGTGAAGTTAGAATTAGCAATGGACACTTTTAAAACCTCTTCTATCCCAGGGTCGAATATTCAGTCCCTCGCAGGAGGCATTCCCATTTGGAAGAAAAGAAAGGCAGGAAGGAGAGAGAAAACTACATACCATAAAGCCCCCTTGCTTCACCTTCCTGTACATTAGTAACATTTTTCCAGCATAAGAAATCCATGTAATTTTCTCCCTCCCACACTTAACTGCTTTCATAATTTTGCAAATAATTAGCAATCTTCTAACTGCTGCTGCTGGTGACTTCGATAGGCTATAACCCCAATCTAATCTCCAACTTGGCAAATAAAAAATTTTAAGTGTAGAGAACAAAGAGCAAATGACACTCCCTGGGAAATGTGAAGATTTCTTTTGCACGGAAGATGTTTGGGTTGCTAAGTGTCACCCCAGTATTGGGAACAGTACTGAAATGGTTTGTGTACGTGTCTTGCCAGCATGTCTAGATACCTTTCCCATGAAGACTTTAGCTGCTTTCCAGCTTCGGTCTTTGGGCACTCTGCCGCGGGGTGCGAGGAGGACCATCACAGCCGCAGTGACGTTGGTGACTGCGTTGGGTGGGTTGGGGAAGGCTTTCAGCTCGGAGAGATTGACCTGAAGGAAAGCAGATGAATACCCAAGATCAGGGGCCAAGCAGCTCATCGGTGTCCTTGGCTCTCAAGCCCTGTTGTTCCTGTCCATTTTTGTTCACCCAGAAGTTCCACATTGTGATCTACAGAAGCCAGTTCTGGTTGGCACTCCCCAGATCTTCGTGCAACATCACTGTCTGGCTCGTCCCTGGGAAAAACTGCCAATTTCCTAAAATGTCCTGCAGAGCCTGGCTAGCAGAGCCCAGGGGATTCCAAAATATAAGCGTTCAAGTAGTTACGGGATTGATTGCTCCCACCTACATGGTAATCTTCATTTTGGTGCAGTCTTCCCAGATACACAGGTCCTTGTTGAGTGTCTTGTCATTTTGCTCTTCTGCTTTATGTGTACAAAAAACAGCTCCCATATTCTATTACCATGGCTCTCAACTAGGAATATGCCCAGGAGGTTTTGGTTCAACTCCTAACCTGATATAGCCATAACCTTGATTTATCCACCACATATATGGTACTAATGGTATAAATTTCAAATATCAGGACAAGTAGGAGGCAAGGGTTAGCAACTAAAAGAAGTACATGTAGTTTTTTGACACATGGTTTAAACACTTACAGGACTTCCTGCCTTACTTTATAACTACCTAATACATATTGTATGTATGAATCTATCACATGTTGAACCTGATTCTGCACTACTATAAAACTGCCAGCTAGTTTAGGAAGTGAATGCAAAGAATGGGAAAGGTATGAAAGGAAGAACCAAAGCAAAGACTTTATACTAATGATACTGAGAGTTGGTTAGCACCAAGATTCTTTCCTTATTAATAAACACACACAGTTTTGTATTTGTGACATTAGTTCGCTTTGTTTTAGTAAATGATACTATATTCAGAGAAAAAGTTGCGGATACAGAGAAGGACAAATAAGAATATTTATGTGCCACTGCTGGGAAAGGAAAAATGTAAAACTCTACTATTTAGAGATATGAAGTTTTTGTTGTCTTAAGTTTTCCCAACGTTTTACTATTATTTATTTATTTTTTTACAGTTTCCATCCTCTTAGACAAGAAAGGTAGTCTTAAAAGGCCAGGGAGATCATTCAAAGGACTGGCACACAATTTTTGTGTGCCTAGCAAGACAAAAAAGGATAGTTTTGCATTTTTTTCAGAATCTGCTTTATTCACCTAATATAGCAATAGAAACATTTTCTCATGTTATAATAGACTATAAACCTATATCCAATACTTGAACCAATAAAGTAATGACTCTTTAGTCACAAACAAAAGTTTTTAGGAAAGTGGAATATATACTTGAGGGGTGGGGACTGGGTTTAGGAAAAACGTAGTGGTGCTCAGGGCTAACTTCTGACAGTGCTCAGGGGTCCAAACAGAGAATCGGGGATTGGATTGGGATGAGGCACATGTAAGGCAAGTGCCTTAACCTCTGTACTATCTCTTGGGCTCTGTGGATTGAATATATTTTTGGAGAGCAGTAAAAGTCTAGATTCTTTATCTTTCGGATTTTAATCACCTTAGGAAGGTGACTTTTTGGAGTTCTACCCAGAGGAACATCAGTACAAGACTAGCCATAGGCTTGTGAAATAACATCAAGGAGAAGTTGATTTTTCTACCAGTGCCTTTCGGTATTAAAATACCATCACCATTTCTCTTATAAAAATGAGAATGTTTAATGAGGTTTTACTAAGGATATGAATTTAATGGAACAGAGAAATTGTACCAAGATTAGGGCATTTGCCTTGCTTGGGGTCAACCGCTTGATCCCTGGTACCACATATAGTCCTTGACCACTGGCAGAGCACAGAGCCAGGAGTAAGCCCTGAACACCACTGACTCTTTCCCTATGTCCCGCCCCCAAGGAGCCCCCCACAGAAAAACACAATCCTAAAGGTGTAAATGCAGAAAAATTATAGGTGACAAACTTAGGTGACAGCTGCCAGGCCTTCTTGTCTTTCTTTGAAGAGTTCTCATCAGTGCAACCTTTTATACTCCAGAATAAATGATGGTCTTAAAATTAACACATTATTTCAAAAAATGGATCATAATAAAACAACTGGATTCAATAGCTAAACATAGAATTGCCTTTCATTGCACTTTATTATTATTAGTTTAGATAAGTGGTATGGTGTGTGTGGGGGGGGTATATGGGGTGGGGGTAGAGTTTAACAACCAGCTGTTAGCTGTGCTCAGGGATTACTCCTGACTCTGTGTTCAAGGATCAGTCCTGTCAGGATCAGGGAATCATATTGGGTGCTGAGGATTGAACCCAGGTGGCTGCTTGCAAGGTAAATATTTTGTCTGCTGTACTATCTCTCCAGCCCCTCATTGTACTTTGGGTCTACTCAAATTGGATCCTAGGACATGCTGGAAAGGAGACTGACTTTTGAGGAGGGGTAAACAATCTCCTGGATGGGAGATCAGACTTTGAGGATGATCTCAGAGGTTTGTCTCAACCTTAATACTTGGGGGTTAGGAACATATGTGGCAGAACGCTAAGGTTTGCTGCTTGAAAGTGGGATTAGTTGCATGCAAGGCAAGTGCCTTAACTTCCAACTTCAACTTTAATATCTATAACATTTCTTTGTTGGTTTTTTTGCTTTTTATTTTGTTTTGTTTTCTGGGTCATATTCTGGCAATACTCAGGCTCTGCACTCAGAAACTACTCCTGGGTGTGCCTGGACGACCATATGGGATTGCTGGGAATTGAACCTGGGTCAGCTGCATGCAAGGCAAGCAGCCTACTATTATACTATTGCCCCAGCCCTCTATAACATTTTCTTTTTAAGAAACTTTGCTTGCATGGCCTTTACTCTCAGCTCACTTATCCAAACTCTAGTAACCTTTAAATATTATATTTTGTGAAAACCCAAGAAACAAATGATCGTCTTTACCCTGTTGAGCGTATTGAGGGCAGCGGTGGCAGCCACCAGCGCAGGCTCTGCCTTGAGTAAATCAGCCTCACACTCCCTCTGTTTCTGGGACACTTCAGTCTGAATGGCAGTCACCTAATCAGAGAGAACAAGCAAACAAATCCACAGATTACTGTAGATCTCACCACTGAAAAATGCAAGTTGACTGTGGATCCAAAGTTCAACAGTTGGTTAATATTTTGAGCAGCAGAGGAAGTTTATGGAAAGATTAATTTCCCTGAAGGCACAGTGAATATGTAAGCTTTGTACATGCACAAAATACACAGTGACAAATCCCAACAAAATGGATTAAAGTATCAAGCAACTCCAAGAAAGACTTTGCCTAACGAACCTAAGACCTGGTCTATAGAACTGAGTTCATCACAGTAGAGGGAAGGAGGTGGAAGTGCGGGTGAGTTTGGGGATAATGAGACAATGGTGGTGGGAAGTGAACACTGGTGGAGGGTGTGGAATATCATATGCAGGAAACCCTGTCATTGACAGTATCGTAAATCTCAGTGCTTAAAATTTAAAAAGAGTATTTAAAAACATATCAAGGTGTAGTTAAAAAAACGATTCTTCTATTCGTTTTTGAGTCCTGGATAAGTGAAAATCCAGGCTCACCAAGATCATGAATTATTCTTATTAGAATTCTCTATCAGGGGCTGGAATGATAGCACAGCGGGTAGGGCGTTTGCCTTGCACGCAGCTGACGCAGGTTTGATTCCCAGCATCCCATATGGTCCCCTGAGCACTGCCAGGAGTGATTCCTGAGTGCAAAGCCAGGAATAACCCCTGTGCAATGCCGGTGTGATCCCACCCAAAAAAAGCAAAAAGAATTTCCTATCAAATTTTTGCTGATATTTGCCAAAAATCCATGTTACAGCTCTTCTAAGAAAAGATGTGCATCTTTTTGTTCATCTGGCTTGAAACTACTATGCTATTCTCTGTGTTCTTGCCCACAGACTCCTCACTGCTTTGAGAGCCCACGGCTGCCAGGTTAGCGCTAAACAATGACATTTGTGGTTCACCCTCTGCTTGACAGCCCTGTGGCCCTTTTGACACACATAAGTGGGTACTCAGTATTCTGACAAGAATGTATCCAGTTGGATATAATAAAGCCATGTTGGTAAGCTCAAATCATACTAAGATGCTTGGGAGCTTTTAGCCCTTTTCTGTTACGGTAGCTATAAAAGTTTAATGACCAGGGAAAGAGAACGTTGAAACCTCAGCAGAAATCTGAGTTTCAAAGCTGTGGCATGGGTCCTGCCAGGATGGTGATTGTGGACTAGAAAATGGGAACAAAAGTGCAATTCTTCAGATGTGTTTGGAATGAACAGGTTTAACTATACCATAAAATTAAACACTGCTCACAACAAATTATATTGTCTACTACAGCTTTATTAGCACTAATTACCCTTCTCCTGATTAACCATTATTTTGCTGTGTACTGCACCTTCTTGAACATAATCTGTTCAGGGTAGATATGTAATCTCCTGCCAATACACCCAGCTACCATTGATATAAAAAAGAAAACTGCGTGATAATTGAGAATTACTTAAAAACCATCACCATAGAAACTGCTGGGAATGGACCATGAAAACTTTAAGAACAGTAAATTTTTTTTGTGTGTTAGAGAAACTGTTATTGAAAATGGAAGAGTGTGCAAGAGAACTTTGTACCTTTGGTTTAATCCAATCTTTCCCTACAACAATACAAAGAAATAGTAAACTGTTCTTTGTCACCATTGATAACAGCATACTTTGAAGTTGGACTCTGGATCATGAAATTTTAACTGGGAGCATTCCCACAGAGTATTTCTTTTTCTTTGATATAGGAATCACTCCTGGTGGGGCTGGAGGACCAAAGCAAGCACCTTTCCCACTGTACTATCTTTCCAGCCCCAGAGAAAATTTCTTTCTAAGCACTATTTCTGAGCTACTACTCTTTTTCTGACTGCTTTATGGTTAAAGGAGAATTATTATTCCTTCTAATTTTTAGAAACAAAGCAATCTTGAACAAATCTTTATAAAACAGAAGAATCTTAAATATATCCACAGATGCAAATACAAATTATCAGATTATTTTCATTTCAGCTAGTGCAATGCTAGTTGAGTATGAAAATGCTATAAAAATGGGTGGCTTGGCCAACGCCATACGCAACTTCTTCTGCTCCAGTGTTCCTGCACAGTGGTGAACAAGGTTCAATTCTATGGTTGAAAATATATACAGACTTTAAAAAAGAGAAATTTTGAAGGGTGCCCTGAGAAATTATTTTAGCTGCACAATTTAGAAGGTAATTTCCACACACAAGAGCTGCACTGCACACAGAAGAGAAAGCCCTGTAAAAAGGAATAGAGCAGATCTTAAAGAATTGAGCTGATCAAGCAAAGATGGAAAAACTAGTTTCACAGATCTGATGGTGTTGGTGTCATATAAATCACTACTGACGATGTTGGAGGTTCAGTTAGGCCTGAACTGTTTCAAGAATTTGAAGCAACTACTTCAACATACTTCTTTATTGGCTTGGCCAGATGCATGGTAGAGCAGTTTTTAATCCCCAATATTTAATTAATTAATTAATTAATTAATTAATGTTTAGCTTTTTGAGTCACACCTGGTGCTTTTCAGGTGTTACTCCTGGCTCTGCATTCAAGAATTACTCCTGATGGTGCTTAGGGGACCATATAGGATGCTGGGGATCAAACCTGGGTCAGACACGTGCAAGGCAAACACCCTACTCACTGTATTATTACTCTGGCCCTGTCAATATTTGGTTATTTAAATGTGCCAGAGTAAGCTATGTAAACTTATGAAACATATCTTTATTTCTCGTTAATTAAGAGTTAAGATCCCAATTTTAGAGGATCATAAAGGATATCTCTATGTTCCCTCTAACACCTGCAGAGAATGTAATATATTGTTTTTGGTTTTGGCTTTGGTTTTTGGTTTTGAGGTTATGCCTAGTGGTGCTGAGGGTATACTCCTGGCTCTGTGCTCGGGGATCACTTCTGGTGGTGATTGGAAGCTCTGGGAAGCCTGTGTGCTCGACAAGCATCTTCCCTGCTGAACTTTCTCTGTGGCCCTACAGCACACTGCCAGATCTGATAAGTGTGAGCCTGTAACACATACTCGGCCAGTGATTATTGCCTTGACTCCATATGGTTTAATTTACAAATAGATCTTCCACTTATGACAGCATTTTGAAACAGTCCCTTCTACCATCATATATACTTGATTTTCAGCTCCGACCACTAACTCTACCCTGCCCATAACATGCTACTTGCCTCATGTCTTTTCTTTTATAATGTAATGCCCACAGGGTACCTTATATGTCACTTAGGTCCCAGGTGACAATGGCAGGCCAAAACAGGATCTTAGTTGCTATTTACAATTCAATGTTGCTTCACGCATAGAATAAAAATATTTGTAGGTTCTATTTTTATATCTTGGCATGAGATAGATATTTTTTTAAAAAAGCATATCTTTTTCACATTTGAAAAACTCAGGGGAGTTCTGATCTGCTAAAGCCTTTCATCTCCCCTTGGGAGCATAATTTTGCCCGAGGAATTTAGATACCAAAAAAATACCCTTTGAGGACCGTTTTTGTTTTAAGATATTTGAAGGGTATGGATAGAGATGATTTATGATATAATTACTAAAACATCACTCATTTGTGTAATGCCTAAAAAATATCCCTTGGGTGGAATTAGCTATGATAATTATGCTACATGTGAAACCAATGTGCTTAACAGAACCATGCACGTTTTAAGGGTGTTTTTGCCTTAGCTAATGCTAATGGAAATGTGGTATTCCAGAACTAGCAATAAAATGCCCCTGGACATGCCAAATGTATTTTATCTTCAACTTCAAAAATGTGTAGTTTTGATTTTCAACATACTTTCCAAGTGTTTAGATGTATAAACTGAAAGCTAATCTGTTCAATACACATTAGAATAATAAAAAGGCAAAAAGAAAAACTCAGTCTATGGTAAAAAAGACAACACCGTTGGAAAAGCTTAAATATTTTCTGGTACCATAAAGTGCAGGACAATAACATAATGGCTACTGATTCAAAGGCTTGAGAGTGTTAGTAATTTATAATATCTTATTACCAAAGCCCCAATTATAACCTTTTGACTAAAATAAAGGAGTTCATCTCACACATACATATTCACAGAAATTTTAAGCAAATATTTGTTAATCATTCAGCTACTGAGATATTTCTTTTGAAAACTAAGCTATACACATACAAAATGTATTCCTTTCATTTGGAGCTAAAGTTTTGCTAAAAGAAGAAGACAAAGGAGGTTGTATTTATTTCAGAATTGCCGGAAACTGGAGTACAAAGAAAGCTGAATCTCTATAATCTTAAAAGTAATTGTTTCCAACAGTAAAATATAATACAGAATGCTAGGGCCTCAGCAGAATTTTAAAAAGAACAAATTTAGCTTAGGATTTAATCATAAACTTAAGTTGTATTATTAAAATGCGAAATCTGAAAACCATCTTGCAAAGTGATGGAATGGGCTTTGTTAACAATTGAGTTGTTCAATTTGCCTAGAAACTAAAAACCTTTAGAAACCTCTGAGGTGACTTCCTGACCTTTACTGTATTACAAATAGGCCTGATGTTCAAGATCCACATCCATTATACGCTTGAATGAGCTCAGTATTTATTGTTCTTTCATATCATTAAAAGAGCTAAAAGGTTGGGAAAATGCATAATGTAAAGAAAGGTCAAGTGGTAATCATGGTGTGAAATGCTGTTACATGTGTAACTATAATAATTCTTTAGATTTGATGCTCCCTGGAGAGGAAGTTGTTCAAAATTGTTCACCTACAAAGGTTTATTTAGTGCTAAATATAGCCCAGCACTCTAAATGGTGGAATTAGCCTGACCTTTCTCTCCTCGGCATCTGCGATGGCCTTTTCCCGGCTCACTTTGTCCGTCTGGAGCCCAATCTTTGTGATCAGACCTTCAGCATCCTGATTCCTTAGATGTAACTCAGCTTCTTGAGAGGCAAGTCTGGCCTTCAGATCTCCCACCTGAAGGGAAAATCATTTTGAAGTAACTTATGTGGGTAACAACAAATATCAGATAGCATTCATTTTATTCCTTTCTTTTGTTTTGGGTGTTCTTTATTTATTTATTTTTTTTGGCCACATCCAGTGATACTCAGGGATCACTCCTGGTGGTGTCTGGGGGACCATATGTACTTCTGGGGATTAGGTCAGCTCTGTGCAAGATGAGTGCCTTTCCCACTGTACTATCACTCTAGCCCCCTTTTTTATTCAATGAGTACACGGGCCCTAACAGTTTGTATCTAGTTCTACCGCTACTTGATTTCCATCCCACATGCAAAGGGCAGCATCTTTTGAATTCTCACTTAGGAGTGAAATGACTATTTCTGATAGTTTGGTGGAAAAACGCTTTGCCGAGTCACTGCTCTTCTCCTCTCCCTCTGTGCAGTCAGGAAAGCACAAGGACAGGACCCAGCGGAGCCCACCCACCTATGCCTCCTGCTTTTCTGCCGGAAGCAGCTCCTGTGCATGGCAGCCGTGGCCTCAGGAGGGCCATATTGGTGATAACCTGATCTGCATCCACCAGCAGAAAATCACCTGAGGTTTTAGGCAAGTTAAGGACACCAAGGGTTGGGGCTAGTGAGATAGTCCAGGGGTCAAGGGTCTTGCCTTCCTTGCATGTGGTCAATCTCTGTCCCCTGAGCACTGCCAGGAGAGATTCCCCGAGCACAGAGCTAGGAGTTGGCCCCAGCACTCTCTGGTCTCCAAACAAAACAAGATACCAAGTAGTAAGAGAGATAGTGCAGGATGGAATGCATCTGCCTCCTGGCAACTCTGAACCTGGCACCACGTACGGTCCTGGGAGCACCTCCAGGGGGCACTGCTGAGCACCTGAGCAGTGCTGGGTGTGACTCAATTCTACATTCCACTTCAACTGCATAAAGATACCAAAATTCCTGAGCTATTAATCAGTCGACTTAATCAACTGCTTATTATGACTAAAATGCTCACAGAGAGAACTGAGCTCTTCCCGCCAAACATGAAATGGTTGTTGTGGTTTTCTGATAAACCTCCGTAACAGTCAGCTAATACCCACAACAAGGGGCAAACCACTTGTGCCTTGTGCAAATCAATGTTGTGTGATCACAAGTTCCCAGACTGGCCCAACTGTTTCACACAGAGTCCCAGAATACTAGTGCTCAAATGTCCCAGCATGCACAGCCCTGCTTGGCCCTCACTAGCAAACCTCACCCAGTTTTTGTGGAACACAGCCTTTTCAAGGTACCCACACACTCATCTCCAAAACAGAACAAATCTGCCTTTTAAATTATTATTATTATTATTTTACTTATTATTATTATTTTAATTGAATCACCATGAGATATACAGTTGAAGCTCTTCATGATCAGGTTTCAGCCATACAATATTCCAACACCCTTCCCTCCACCAGTGCACATTTTCCACCACCGGTGTCCCCAGTTTCCCTTCCATCATTCCCCAACCCCAGCCTGCCTCTATGGCAGGTACTTTTCTTCTTTCTTTCCCTCTCTCCTTTTGTCTGCCTGCCATTAAAGCTGAGTTGTTTTAAGTTTCAGAAGGCAGCACAAGATTCGGCATTTGACAACTATGTCAATAAAAGCCAAATTGAAACACTGGCAAGAAAATTCCAGTGAGATTCTTGGAAATACATGAAAGTGGCTTTTACACATAATGCCAATGAACTCTTCATGCCATCTATTTTCTGGAAGTATAATTGATTGGGGGTGGGAGGTGGAGGCAGAGAGATAGTACAGTGAGTAGGGCACTTGCCTTGCAGATGGCCAACCAAGGTTTGATCCTGGCACCACACATGGTTCCCTAAACTCTCCAGGAATGACCCTAAGTGCAGAGCAGGGCTATGCCCTGAGCATCACTTGGTGTGGCCCCAAAACAAACAAAAAATAATTTTAAAAAATAAAAGTGCAAAGAACAAAGCATAACCCCTTGGTTTGACACAACCCCTTCTGGGTTTCACCTGTGGGCCAAAAGCTTCTTTGATATCCAAGTGACTCTCTAACCCCTGTCTCAACTCAGCTACTTCATAATCTCCTGAATGGCATAGTCACTAACCTCTGAAGTGCGTTTATTTTATTTTTTTGGTATGGGGACTCTCAAGCAGTGCTCAGACTTCGAGGGATCACCACTGGGGAGCCATGCCCAGGTATATGGGGCTGAAAGTTCAATGGCTGGTCAGTGATACATCACACACTTGCAGCTCTATCATCTGGGAAGAAAACTCAAGTCTGACAGGCCCTATTTTTGCCCTCACCCATGTGAACAGCTCAGTTTGAACGTGAACATGATCATTTCCTGGGGCAAAGTTGACAGGCTCCATCTGGGACATCATGCAAAGGAATATAAATATTCTGTGATACAGATGCCCTTCACTCATCTTTGCACTCAACAGGACATGAAGAATTCACTCTTGACAGAAAGGAGCGTCTTGATTTACGTGAGATGGAATCAAAAAGGGAGAGTGATGAAAAGGGGAATTAAGAGCAAGATAAATTGCAACGGAAATTAAGAGTGAAGAAAGACATTGTTTGAGAGGGAAAAGAAAGAGGGTCAAATGTGGACAGATTATTTGAAGATCTCTTATTTACCCTTCCCTGGGCTGGAGTCATAGCACAGTGGGTAGGGCTTGCATGTGGCTGACCCGGGTTCGATTCCTCTGTCCTTCTCGGAGAGCCTGGCAAGCAACTGGGAGTATCTTGCCTGCACGGCAGAGCCTGACAAGCTCCCTGTGGTGTATTCAATATGCCAAAACAATAACAACAAATCTCACAATGGAGTTGTTACTGGTGCCTGCTCGAGCAAATATTCCATAGCTCCCTAGGATTCTAACAATAGGACAGTGCTACAGTGCTACAGTGCTACTCTTCTCTACATCACTCAATCCTGGAAAGTGTCCAGCTGTGACCATGAAGGTTTGGTTTCACAGCCAGTGCAGGGTCAGAGAGAGGAAAGACATGTGAGGGGTTAAGAGAAAGAGCAGAGGGGAGACATGTGAGGGGTTAAGAGAAAGAGGGGTTAAGAGAATTCACATCACATTGTCAGTCTGGAAGATAGTGGATGCATGTCTTCAGAGCAGCTGTGTTTTCTGCACAGTCACAAAAAGGGTTGTTATGGAGAAAGAAAATAGGGAAGCTCATTTCTAGGAAGGGTAGACCATAGGCTGGTGGATGCCAGGATGTCCAATAAACTTACTCAGGGGTTGGTTCTCTGAGGCCCACTTCTGGTGTGACTGTAAACTAAGAGTTCTTTGATTTGTTTATTTAGGTTTTTGGGCCATACCTGGCAATGCTCAGGGCTTACTCCTAGTTCATGGATCACTCGTGGTGGTGTCCAGGGGACCAAATGGGGTGCAAGGAATTAAACCCAGGTCAGCTGTGTGCAAGGCAAGTGCCCTACCTGCAGGACTATGACTCTGGCCCCCTGCAAACAAAAGGTTTCTGTTGAAGGTTCTTTTCCTCAGATCCTCTTAACAAAGAACACTTTTGAGATTCTCAACGGTCCCTAACCAGACAGGTTTTCTGATTTTGAATATTGTATTCAGCTCATTTCTTTGGGGCAGGCTCCAGGTATATTTTATATCTGGGGGCTAAAATGTTGCCTCTTAAGGAAATTTTGTTTTTATTCAACAAGCATAGATTTTGTTTGTGCAGTTGGTCACACATCCTGGCCATACCTGAGAGGCTGTGGTTTTTAGCTTCTGGATGCCATTCACCAGGTGCTCTTTCTTCTGGGAGACCTCCTCCTGTTTCTTCCTCAATAGGTTCTTAAACAGTGATATTTGTCCAAGAAAACTCTTCGGGGTAGTATAGTTGTATCTTCTCTCATTCCGGTAATATCTGGCACTCATTTCATTCACGCTCATGTGAACATGTGCCATGAAAAGGCTAATGGAATCCTTATCTCGTGGCTGAAAGTGAAAAACACTGCAATTTGTATGAAGTTTTCTCAGGGGAAAACACAAAGGCAACGCTTAAGAAAAATCAACAAGGTTATTACACAGTTGGTTTTCTTAAACACTAGAACAAACTATAGTGGAATCTAGTAAAATGTATTTAATTTTTAAGAGAGAGGTATGGGAGGAGAGAGATGACAACGGAGCATTCAGCTTTGGAAAACTCTTTTGCCAAGTAGGACAAAGGTTATTTTATGTACTCTACACACCAGCCCTAAAGCCAAAATACAGCACAAGCAATGCTTTTCACAAGTTGATTTGTGTCTATCAAGGGTGGGAAAGAGAAAAAGGAGAAATTGTGACACAGTACTTTGAGAAAGGACCATGACACAGTGTTGCTCTGAAGCTATCTGCATCATAGTCACTTAGGCAAAAACAAAAACCAAACACTAAAAATCCTCCAGATAACAATAACAGAAAATTCCCCAGAATAGAGCTACCTCTTGGTTGGAAATGTACTGGAGAACCCTCTGCTAAATAATCTTTCCTTTTTGTCCTCTGTGACTTCTGAAGTAGTTAACTTTTTAATTTGTGGAGTCACATCTCCCTCATTTTAATGATTATTTATTGCAATCTGTACAAGATGAACCAGGTTCAATTAATCAAGGGAAGCCTAAAAATCAATTAATATGAATTAAATGAGCTACACCAACTCTAAGGAAAGTCACACATAATTTACCAAAATGTTGTCAATAATGCTCTGATGTCTTTGGGAAAATTGCACACAAGTGGCTGGTGGAGCAGTTAAACACTTCGAACCTGTACCATTAATATTACACCTGGGTGTGAGGAGAAACAAGCCAACTCTCACTGCACAAAAACAGCCGTTCCAGAGCTTCCCAGTGGCAGGGAAATATCCAGAGTGAGCTTGAAACGTGTATTTCTGGATTGCTCTGCATATGAAAAATCGACCTCAAACAATACTTTTAAGGCAAAAGTTAAGCATTGAGTGCCTCACATCTCAAACATCCTTCCAAGTCTGCAGACCTGAGACCCAAGTATACTCCCAAATAGTGGGTTTGGAAATATAAACGCATGTGAAAGTTATATGAGCTCTGTCATAAACCACATCCCCTGGGGATTTTATTTTTAAGAGAGTCTGACAGCGGTAGAAATACTACAAAAATTTGTGCCTGCCCGGTCTTGTTTTAATGGGAACTAAAAGTGCACTCATAGCGTTCTACAATAGAGATAAATACTTGCCCTAGCCAAGGGCAACCTCCTTACAGGAAGAAAGAAAGGGAAAGAGAAAGAAAGGGAGAAAAAAACAAACCCTGGCCTCTGCCCAACCATGATCCCTATGAGGAGTCTCCTCGGCTGCCCTGAAAAGCTCTTTAAGAACAGTTTCATTTGTAAATCCGCATTGGAAGAAGTGGTTTCCGGTAGAGCTGGAAGTGGCCCGAGACAACTTGTCTCAATGGGGCAAAATAACTATTGTTATCGGGCTTAACAAAATGGCACAGCATGGGAGACTCGCGGAGCCAGGGAGCAGCTGGTTGTAATTCACACTGTTTTTCAGAAAACTCTAATCGTTCCAGAACAGACCTCTTTGATGACTGGTCTTCCCTGCATTCTCAATTTGTCACTTTCTCTTATGATAAGGTCAGTAGTGACAGCACTTCCTGACATTAACAGCTGTGGCTTTTAAAAGGGTCATTGTAGAACTACTAATTGCAGTAATTTCATTAGCATAAATTATTTATTCTGCCATTCATTTATCTACAGTTTTCTTTGGGGGTGGGGGGGCAGCAGGGAGCCGGCTGCTGGGCTGCAGCAGTGAGGGAGACTCAACGCTGTGTTTTTCACTTTTAAAGACACCCCTAAAGAGCATCATTCCTGCTACATTTGGCCCCTTAATGAAAACCAGTGGGTCCTGTTCAGCAGCCATTGAGCAGCCAATCGTGGCGGAGGCGAAAATAAAATCAAGCCAAGGGTCAGGACTGAATGGTTATAAAACCAATGTTTCCCACCCCCCTAAGACGCATTGGAAAACAATGTGGTGTCTAAGGCATAATCAGATGCAAAGGCGCAACTGCTTTTTCCTCGCATGAACAAAGTGTTTAATTTCTGCTCCCTTGGTTGGCTCACTGTAAACAGAGGGATAGAAACAAATGCCAGCGACTTGCTCTGACAGTTCTCAGGTGGTGGCAGCCACCCCAAGCACCCCAGACATCCGCCCACCTCTGGAAGCAAATACCCCATTGCTGAAATAACAAACCCCAAGCCAGTATCTAACTCAACTGTCCTAAGTGTTCCTGAGGATGCTTACACCTTTCCAAGGCGGTGCTGGTTCATATTGCATTCCAGGAAGAAAGAAGTGTGTGTGTGTGTGTGTGTGTGTGTGTGTGTGTGTGTGTGTGTGTTGGAGGGGGGGTTAGTGGGTAGACCAATGCCATGCAAAACAATTTTCTTAAGTTTAAATTGGATAATTTTCATATATGCCACATGCCCACCATCCATCTTAAGAGTTTTTCTCTCAAAACTATTACACTGTAAATGATTTTACACCTTTCACTGAGGTAGAATTGCAACAGAAAAAGCCGTATTTACATGGTATCTGTTGTTTTGGGGTTTTCTGGGCCACACATGGCACTGCTCAGGGGACCTATGACATGCCACGATCTAGCTTAGGTCAGCCATGTGCAAATGCCCTATCCACGCTCTACTATCCCTTCCATTCCTCCGTTGGTCTTTTAGTGTGTACAAGTGGGGTGTGGGTGGGGAGCCCACCCCTCCCGGCTGCGCTCAGGGATCACTCCTGCAGGCTCGGGGAACCATATGGGGTGCTAGGAAACAAACCCGGGTTGGCAGTGCACAAGACAAATACTCTACACATTGTACTATCACTCCAACCCCTTCCTCTCTTGGTTTTTTAAAAAATAATTTCAAACCTGACTTTTCAGCTTCTGAAAGTCCAGGAGCTATATTCCCCCACCCAAACCAGTCTTGTGTGATGTAAGTAGGAAATACATTAGATATTTAAAGGCTGTCTTACTAAATAAATAAAAAAAAACCAGACAAATGCATGAAACCAACAGCAGTGTATATGTGAGCGACTCTCTGAAGCTCACCTGGGAGGCTGCCAGGAATGCTGGGTTGGACAGGTTAGGAACTGTGCTAGGGTTTCAGTTTTGTAACAGTGGGCAAGTTATGGCACTCCCTGAGCTTTGTCCTGCCTATAAAATCTAAGGTCACTCATTCTCACTCTTTTCCTTCCTTCCCTTCACACACAGTTTCCTGTCACAACAGTCACCACTTGGGAAACAGCCAAGTGAAGGACTGGTGTCCCTCACAGGTGGAGGTCATGGCATCTAGGCCCCTCAGATGCCTTGGGGCGCTTCCCTGTGGAAAGATCTCACACCTGTGGCCTTTACTCCTTTACCTGGGCCATAAGAAGACCTTCTCAGTGGGCTGGTACTGTGGTAACAATGCACCTCGTTACCATACTGGGGTCCATACACAGTGTGGTCACAAGTGCTACATAATGAGATGCTGGCACCACTGGCTCACTTGCAAGCTGGTTTCTGTTTTTCTGTCACTTGGGCGAATGCATTCTGTTGGTCATTTACTCTTTGATCAAGTCTCTGTTCAAAAGCACAATCAGCAGAAGCCAACAACCTTCTAGGTGAGCTTGCAGGCATTAAAAGAGGGCGCTGCCCTGGTTCTCTTGGACAGATCACCCCAACAAAGCAGCAATTAAAGACTGAAGCCTGGAGGAAACAGAACAGAACCCAGCGGCCCCTCTAACAGCGTGTGGGACAGGAAGGCAGGGGCTGGTGCAGGACCTTGAGCAATGTGTTCCCAAGTGGTCAATGCAGTAGCCTCCGAGGGTGCAAGGGTGGGCGGGGGGCGCTTTTTGTTGGATTTGTTTAAGGAAGGGGGATTTCCAGGGAGCCACTGAATGGTTTCATTCTGAAATGGGAGGTGGCAAAGCACATAACTGTGGGAATCTCTGAACTACAGGAAAACTACAAAACTACAACTGAAGGGTTATAAGAGTTCCATTTAATGAAAGCAAAATGCTAGCCGAAGAGTGTGCAGCTTAAACAAAATTCGAGCCTTAGTAGGAAGGATTCTTAAAGTTCTCTATAAACTCAGCAAAAACCCTGGAATGTAGCCCACTTCTTTCTACAATTTGATCATCATGCAGAGAGTAAAACTCAGATAGGGTACAGCCTATTTGTGTTGATGTGTACAGAAGAAAAGGAAAGGATATTGATAATTCCATATACCTTTCTTCACCAATTTTGATAAAGGTTTCATTTAAGTCTATATGAGATTCATGCAAAGTCAAGAGAAAATAAAATCTGTTGCATTTTCCCCACTGTCTTGATTTCTTAAAATTCTTCAGACATGATTTTTTTCCCCAACCCACAGAATTTCTATGGCATCTAGTGATATTTCTACTTTCTAATCATGTTGAATAATCTAATACATATTGCAAAGAAAAAATTATGCTAAATGTTATTAGCAGAAATGGTGATAAACTCATTATCACCAAAAAATTACTACTTCACCCTTCTATTAATACTTTGAAAAGAAACTTAAAGTTTGATTTGGAGAGCCGGAGATATAGTACAGATGTTGAGGTGCTTTTCTTGATCCTGCTGACCCTATTCAAAACACTGGCACCACATCACCACATATGGTCGCCCAAGTGCTACCAGTGATTAGTCCTGAGCACAGAGCCAGGATTAGTCCCTGAACACCAATAGGTGCAGCCCCAAACCCAAAGTAAAATTTAAAGAAATTTAAAGTAAGACTTGAAAGAAATCAAAGGGGGCAGTAAAGATGGACAAGAAGCCACGGAGAGCAGGGGTCAAGGGGCCCCTAGTACATCGGTATATAAAGGATTGATGTAAATAAATATCCAAACCATAGAGTCAACAACCCTGAGAACTAGAGATCCAAACTTCAATAACCAAAATTGAAAAAAAGGTCCCTGATGACATGGCAAGATGGGAATGGCAGATGGAGAGGGTGGAAGGGAAGGGACCCAGGAATCCTGGTGGAGGGAAGAAGATATTGGTGGTGGGATTGGTGCGGGAACACAGTATGTTTAAGACCCCAAAATGAATAATTTTGTGGGGCTGGGGTGATAGCACAGCGGGTAGGGCATCTGCCTTGCACGTGGCTGACCTGGGTTCGATCCCCGGCATCCCATATGGTCCCCTGAGCACCGCCAAGAGTAATTCCTGAGTGCAGAGCCAGGAGTAACCTCTGAGTTTGGGTGTGGCCCAAAAAAGAAAAAAAAATGATAGCATTGTAAAGCACGGGCTATTAATAAAATGTAAAAATTGGAAATCAATGGGATTAAAAAAGTAAGATTTGAGAAGGCAATCTTTATTCAGTACCAGGAAACAAGAGTAAGGGAATAAACAATGCCCAGTGATGACATGCTGAGAGCTAGCCTAGGGAAATGAGTGGAGGCCAGGGGCTGGAGGAGCCAGAGGCAGCAATGGAGAGACACAGACAGTCTCGTGGTGGGTGTGGGGTAGCAACACTACGCCTGAAATACTAGTACAGTCAGCATTGTACATTCTGGCACCTAAACAAACGCACAGACAGCAGTCTTTGGACACAATGGGAAGATATTTTCCTTCTTGGACGCTTTTCCCATAAGGGTTGGGGATCTGCCCTCCAGACCATTAGTCCTCCATTTGAGAGGGGGCCACATGTGGAATACATTCATTTCTTTGCAAAAGGTTGATGTGACCCAGACAGCATAACTACTTATTGAGTTGTGTCATGTTGAAAGATGATGGATCATTCCAACGTGCCAGTTGGCCACCATGTCTAAAAAGTTTGAGCTCCTCCCCATCCAGATCTTTCTCCAACTCCCTTTAATGCCAAAAAACCTCACGCCTCACACTCTGGAGCTCCCCATTTCCTCTCAGCAGCATCATCTATCTGAAGACCCTGCTATCATGGGTGTTTATTGACAATTTTGACTTGGAAAGCAAAATGGAATATATATATTATATATATATATATATTATATATATATATATTGAGGGCACACACCTAGTGGTACTCAGGGGTTTGTCCTGGATCTGTTCTCAGGGATCTCTCCTGGTGGGGGTCCAGGGGACCCCATGTGGTGCTGGGGATGGAGTCTGGATCAGCCAGTGCCAGGTAAGTGTCCCACCTGCTGTACTACGGTTCTGCTCCCCTCCCCCCCTTTGTCTTTGCCCACCCATCTCTCCCACCTGTTTGCCCAGAGGGCTCCACCCATGCTCTGCTCAGCAAGTTCTTGTCTAGGAGCATCTTGCTCCATTCAAGCCCTTTCCTGGGGTGCTAAGCTGGCCTCTTCGCTCCTTGCACAGGGCCCTGCTGCCTCCATTTCCAAAGCTCCTCTGAGCAGTGCGTTAGTACAGTGTCTCTAGATAATACCCAGTGATAACAGAGTGTCAAGCTATTTGGGCCACTCTGTCAGCTGACTCAATGCCAGGTAACAAAAACGTTGCAGCAGCAATTCCTCAGGCCCAGCCAGCCCTTGCCCTGGATGCTGAGTGTACACGCAGAAATGTCAGCATGACATGTCAGCACACGACAAGGCCTGGCTTTAACAAAGCCCTTCTCTGTGGTTAGATGGGGTCACCTGGCACAAGGACTGGGGCACTCGGCAAAGGAGGTCAACCATGAAAAAGTGCCGATATTAACTTTCAGCCTTAACAGGAGACATTTAAATGCAGAAAGTCTTCAAATTAGTGTCCATTCGAAAAAAGGGAACCACTGTTTGTGATGTCTACAGAAAAGACACTGAACACCTTTAGCAGAGCATGGAAAACACTGAACTCTGAACTGCAGTGTTTGCTCGTGAGTAACAAATTAGGAAGGTGGGAAGGTTAAATAAACACATTAAGCTGCCACAAAATCCCCTCCCTAAGGTGTTTCCTGGCTCAGCCAGAGAGCAATGGTGAAGAGCCTTTGTAAGTTCCTCCTATAGGAGGCACCATGACACCATGGGAATGAGCGAGCACCAAGGCCAGCCCTCTGGCCTCAGGCAGTGCAAGTCCTGCCTTGTCCAGCAGATGTCAATGGTCACCAGCAGATCAGAGCTCCTTCCAGCGTTTCGGAAGGGGCTGCTACTTTGCCAAGAGAAAGTCTGCACTGGGTCCCTGCTCTTCCTGTCTGGCTCCGGTCTGAGAAAAGGATGGTGAGAGCCAAAGTGGATGCGTTCTCCTCCCCTCCTCATCACCAGACCAAACCAGATGCATCAGACTTTTGCCCACCAAAGGTACATTCTTCCGGAATCTCTTTCTCACAGAGAATGTCCTTTTGAATGCCGTTGCTTGTTAAAAAGACAAACTAGGCCCGACATAATTTCAGCAATGCAGTGAACTCAGTATAACCGATGAAGTATGCATGACTCACTGTGGATCTTTACGTGTCATGCTACATAGCTCTTTCAGATTTTGATGTATAAAGGAATTTCTGGCAGACATCACCAAGTATGAGTTTCTGCTACATTTTGGGTAAACAAGCAATGGTGGGAGTAACACCTCAGACAGAATCCATTCCCTGTTATGTGTCTCCTCGACTCTCATCTGTCATTACAACTTGAGTTGTATTTCTCCACACAGAGGAAGGAAGCTATGATCAGGTGAAATCCACTTAAAAAAATCAAACCATATGTTATTTACTCTAAGTACACATCTCCCTCTTTAAAAAAAAATCCTCATAAATACATTCAATGTTAAGGTAAGGCAAGAGACAGAACTGGATGGATATGGAGAAAAAACGAAATAAAAGAGATAATTTTTTTTTCAATTTGTAGAAAGAGTTTTAAAGTATGGGGGCCAGGAGGTAGTATAGGGCTTAGGGCGTATGCCTAGCACTGCCTGACCTGGGTTCAATTCCTGGCACGTCATAGTCTCTGGACATAGTTAGGTGCATCCCTGGAGGCTCCCTGGGCACATTCGGGGGTGGCCCATCTATCTCTGGTACTTCAGGCCCCAAGCAGCGCTGCACCCTCAGGCCATGGGACAATTAGGATAACACAATAGACTATATATAATAAAGCTGTATATATGTGTAAAGCTCTAAACATATCAATAAGGTTAGCCGCATACAAATGATGAAATGTGTAACTGTGCTCATATTTCTCACCATCTGGCCACCCAAAGACATAAAATATTCAGGGATAGCACTGGAAAAGCGGCAGGTATGACTCGAGCTGGGGAAGCTGTAGTAGATTGTGTCTGTTCTTATTAACCTTCCAACTGACATCATTCCTTGCATTCCCCCAATCTATTTTTGTCTCAGAGAAGTACTTTTGTTTATTATCCTAGAATGGTATCTTTCCCCCGATGGTGGAATCAAAAGACAAACCTTGCCAGGAATTCTCCATTACCACCTGGAAAGGTACTAGGACAGAAGCCTTTATTTTCAGGAGGTCTAGAAAGTCTAAGTGATATCTTCAGATTTTCTGGAGAAGGAGAGAGAGGGGAAGGAGAGAGAGAAAGAGAGGGAGAGGGAGAGAGAGAGAAAAAGAGAGGGAGAGGGAGAGAGAGAGAAGAGAGAGGGAGAGAGCGAGGGAGCCAGAGAGCTGGGGAGGGGGGTGGAGAGGAAAGAGAGAGAGAGAGTTAAGTCATACCTCAATGCCATCCGTTTCCTCAATGAACCTCCTGCTGACTGAAACCAGAGCCTCCTGGGGCCACGCATGAAACCAGTCAATAGCTGTGCAGTTCACAATGGCTGGGAACTTCCGAGCTCTAACTCTCAGCATGTGGCCAACGGGAGAGAAACACAGAATGACCTGTGGAGACAGGGGGGCAGGGCAGAAACAAGAGGGTGATGAGTGAGCAAAGAGTTACATTGCAATCCCCGACAATAAAAGAAAGGAGAGCGACCACCCATGACCGGCATCTATCCTAAAGCCCCACAGAGAGGAAAGCAGGAAGCACCTCCCTCCAGCGCTCATCAAAGCGGAAACCTGCTCACTCACAAAGGAAGGCAGCTACACTGCTACTTTCCCTGCAACTGGTTTCTCTTTTTTGCCCAGCAACTCCACTCCTTGGAAAATATCCCAAAGGCCCAAAAACAAAATGGAGAAATGACAGCTGTTTCCCTTATGTTCCCTGCAGCACTATCTACTGTAGCCAAAATCTGGAAACAAGGCAGATGTCCAAGAATAGTTGACGGGATAAAGAAACTATAGTACATACACACAATGGAATATTACTTGCCCATAAGAAAAGATAAAGTCATGAAATTCACTGCTATGTGGAGGGACCTGGAGAGTCTCATGCCAAGTAGAATTAGCCAGAGGGAGAGAAGCAGACACAGAATGATCTCTCTCCCATGTGAGAGATAAAAAACCATAATGGTTGAATAAAAATGCCCAAAGACAATGGAAACAACTTGAGAACTGGTATTCAGTAGGATACATGCCACCCAAGGGAAATGGGCTATAGGACAGGGGGCTGGAGGGCGATGCCTGTGTTGGAGGGAATAATTCAACAGGAAGGAGGGAGAGGGGGTGCTGAAAGGTGGGAAGATGGTATGGATGAAACCCTATCAGCAACGGTATTGTAAACCACAGTGCAAAATGTATACATGTATATATGTTTTTATATATGTATATATACTATTTATATACATATATACAGTGTCTCATAGAAGCAGACTGTTGGGTGGGAGGCAGATGGGGGTGCAGAAGGGCACTGGTGAAGGAATTGTGTCGAAACAATGTATGCCATTCATGAATGACTTTGTAACTTTATGGTAATTAAATTTTTTAAAAACAGAAATTTACTTAAGTTAAAAGAGCCTAATCAAGGAAGAATAAAAGTAACTATAAGATCCAACTCCGATGCAGCCATGGACATATCAATGTTTTCTTTGAAGCACTGTGATTTACAATGCTATTAATGATATGGTTTCATGCATATGTTCCAACAACACAAAAAAATTTTGGTTTCTGTGCCTGGAGAGACAGTACAGTAGGTAAAGGCACTTGCCTTGCATGTAGGTGACCCAGGTTTGATCACTGGAACCACATATGGTCCCACAGCATTGCTAGGAGTGATCTCTGAGCACCGTCAGGTGTGGGTAAAAAAGTTGAGGTATATTCCAAGAAGTGGAATTCCAAAAAGGAGAGTTTTCGTTGTCTTTGGGTATTTGTTATTCTATCATTCTGTTTCTTTATATTCCACATATGAGGAGATTGTTCTGTGTTGGCCTCTCTCCAGCTGGCTAACTCCACTCTGCATAATACTCTCCAGGTTTCTCCAGGTAATAGCAAAGCTCATGACTTTATCTTTTCTTTCTTAGCACAGCGGGTAAGGCATTTGCCTTGCACACAGCCGACATGGCCGGCCTGGGTTCGATTCCTCTGCTTCTCTCAGAGAGCCTGGCAAGCCACCGAGAGTATCTAGCCCGCACGGCAAAGCCTGGCAAGCTTCCCATGACATATTCAATGTGCCAAAACAGTAACAACAAGTCTCACAATGTGTTGTGAGACATTACTGGACCCGCTCAAGCAAATCGATGAACAATGGGAGGATAGTGCTACAGTGCAGTGCTAATGTAGGAGAATTGCTAATTATTCAGCCATTGATTAGGCTGGACTTTATCTTTTCTTATAGCTAAGTAATATTCCATTGTGCATATGTACCATAGTTTATTTCTGTTTGCTTCTCGCCTTTAAAAACATTGTTGATCATTATCAATGGTGGGAAACTAAATTTTTCCCATTACACAATAATACTATATTAAAAAAATCATGACAAAAGAATACCAATACCCCTCACTTCCCCTTCCTTCCATTCTCTCACCCACCAGCTCAATAAAACTGTGTCAGATACTTTAAAAACCTGCAGTGTTTGATCATATGGAAGGCTTACTTTGTTCCTTAACAGTTTCAATCTGACATATTCCTCTAGGGTCTCTCTGTCATGAGTGCCTGGATATGGCTTTGCTTTGGGGGAAGCAAATCTTAGGCAAGTCTGAAAGTTCTTTTTCGGTACTTTTTTTTCCTTTTTGAGTTTTGGACCAGTCCTGCTCCCCCCTCCCCCCATGTTTTTTTTTTTTTTATCATACCTGCTGGTACTTCCACCTAGGTTGCTCTGGAATCCCTCTTGGCAATGCTTGGGAACTCAACCTGGGCTTCTGGCAGGCAAAGCATGAGCTAAGCCCTCACTGTCTGTCCTCCAGCCTTCTGGGTATGTCTAACTGTCTCAGGGGTTTTGGTTGGGAAGATGTCCTGTGTGTGCTAAGTGTGAGTGCCAATGGGAACATCGTTTAAGCCTCCTCCAGTTCCTGCAGACCTGAGGGCACCCAGGGAGTGAGGGCAGCAGGGTTAGGTCTGAGAACCAGAGTCTTGATTTGAGCGATGGTTCTGACTAGCTGAAATATAACAAAGCATTGCTGTTGACGCTGTGCGCTCAGGCAACCAATGAAAGAGTTTTTTTTTTTTCAAAGAACATTTCTCCTTCAGCATTTAAAAATGTCATTCTTTGGATAGGCATATGTGGTATATTTCTCCATCTTCAGGATTTGCCAGCATCGCAAACTGATATGTGTGCCTCTGCCCTTTCTATTTTAAATAAAATGAATTTAGTTTAATAAAAATCCACGTGATGAAAATATGCAGCACGCATGAACCAATTTATCAGGTGCTTTTACTATCTTAATTTTTTGTACTAGAAACTGAAAAAAAATTGGGAGATTAACACTAAAATCACAAATACTTTTTTAATATTGCACAAGATGATTATTTATTCATCATATTCAAGATTCTAGTTATAAACTGAATGATTGCTGTAATGTTGCCTTGTTACATTAACAAGCTGCAGTTACAATGCATAATTCTCACTTGTATCTCAGTTTTCAAATTTCTCCTATCAACTTTCTTTTCTCCTTCCACTTGACTATTTCTCTTTTCTGCCCTGGAAGTTCATTTTTAACACCCAACTTCTTTCCTGGTGATGATAACTTTGGAAAATTTCACTGACACAAAACACAGCAAAGACAGATGAAAAACAGAATCTTTTATTTGATCCTACACATTTCTGTAACTTCTACTGTTACATTTCTTGATCGGGTGTTTGTATAGGTTGGCACACACTATGTGCTAGAAAACAATATATCTGAACTGCGTTTTTAGACTCATAAAAAAGACTTTCTTAGAGTTAACATTGTGCCTTCCTGATTTATAGAAAGATCATACAGGATGATCATGTACAGAAATATATTTCTTTTCCATACCATCATAGTTGAAGATGTGTTACTATGTTATTATATTTAAAAAAAGATTCCATTGTGCCCCCTGAGATTTCCTCTGGGGGTGGGTAGTGGTGGCAGGAGAACAGTGGTGCTCAAAAGGTTCTCTGAACTTGCTGGACCCACTCCACACTCCAGGAATAGAAACCCTTAGGCTGGGGCTTGTCAATGTGCTTTTTTTGTGGGGGGGGAATTACACCCAGCAATACACAGAGATTACTCCTGCTCATGCACTCAGGAATTATTCCTGGTGGTGCTCAGGGGACCATATGGGATGCTGGGAATCGAACCCAGGTCAGCCGCATGCAAGGTAAACGCCATAGCCTCGGTGCTATCACTCCAGTACCAATCTGTGCTTTCTTGAAGAGTTCCAGGTAATTCTGACACCCACAACTGTAACATAATGCTTTATGTGTTCTATGAAAATACTGAAATGAATCATTGACATTATCAGTGTGTCTGCATTGGGTGAAATACAAAATCTGAACCTACATACAGAGTAAAATGAGAGATTTAAGAAAATTTAAAATTAATTAGAGACTTGTCACCACATTAAATTTTCTCACCTAAAATAGACCATGGGAACTAAATGAGAGAAATATAATTATCAGAATACTTCCTCGAAGGGAGATGCTAGAAACATACCAGCTATGAGAGCTGCAATCATCGAACCCCATTTACTGCACGGTAATTCCTAGTTTTGCTAGAAATCTAGCACAGATTTTTCTCCTGATATTTTTCTCAGTAATGCTCTCACCTGAGGATTGTCTGGAATATGTCAGTCATTTCGTTTTTTTCTAAAATAGTTTCCAACTTTTTAACTTAAAACAAACTCAACTGTGGGGGAGGAAAAATTAACCTGGAGCACCGTGTTATTTTCCTTTACTCTACTCTTATTTCCTTTAGTGAGAGATTAGCAAAATATTTATAAAAAGACAAATGACTTTAGAAAAGGTCTGAGATTGTCATGTACCATTTTGTCAGCTCCACTAAGATGTAATGTGGACAAAATCACAAGATGTTACATATATGTATAGTATGATGCTTTTATGCATTTAGATACAGAAAAATTCTTCTGCCAGTGAGCAGTGAGCATGATATCTGGCACTGTATTTGTGTCTGTCTTTCTGTGTCTCTGTGTATTTGTATCTTTACCTTAGTTATTTTTTCCAATGGAAACATTTAAATTCTACTTTCTGTAAAGCTCAGAATTACAAACTGTCCCCCAGACCTTATTTCTCTTATAACTGAAAACTTATATACTATACTGTAAGCTTATATATATATATATATAAGGTTGCAGCATATACACATATAAGTATATATACAAAATCTATATATAAACTCTCAGTATATACTAAAGCTTATATACTGTACTCATATACTCTGTTATATCTCCCACCAGTGACACCCTAGGAAATACTTTTGTTTCTGAGCTTGATGTTTTCATCTTTTAGATTCTATATATAACAAATCACTGTCCTCCAGGTGTTCGTCGATTTGCTTGAGCGGGCCCAGTAAGGTCTCCATTGG